AAATGGAATTTTCTTATTGGTCGAATTTGGTTTACACGATTTTTTAGAATTGGACGGTTCGCATTTGAATCTGCCCGTATATATATATATATATATATATTATAAATATGATTTAACTACAGAAATTATAAGAATCCATACAGCGTCCAGATACATCACCAATACCAATGGAGAGCGAAGACTGCGTCCAGATACACCATAACATTTCTCCCTTTGACTCGATTAGTCAATAACACGTTCGGATTTTTTTTTTTTTTAATATTTTAATTACGTAAAATAATAATTTATATATCAAACAATATTGAGTTAAATGAAAATTTGGTCTCTATTATTTACATAAATTAATAAGTAAGATCCCTAAAAAGAATTATTAATCTTATAGTTTCATTTTTGTAATGAATATAGTCCCTCTTACTAATTACTTCAACTAAGTTTTTGTTAGCGTGGATCAATTTTGTTTATTCACCCCCCTCTATTTCAACTTTCATTTTCAATAACGAATTTGGTCTTTCAAACCACTTTTCATTTTATAACGAATATGTTATAATAATGAAAAGTACTTTGAAAAAGACCAAATTCGTTATAAAAGGAAAAGTAATTCAAGAATCAAATCCGTTATTGAAAATGAAAGTTGAGAAAGAAGAATGAATAGACAAAATTGTTCCTCACTTAACGGAAAGTTAATTGAAAAAGTTAGTAGTAGGGATAATATTCATTATAGGAAGGAAACTATAGAGACGTCCCTCGTTAATAATTTTTTTAGGGACCTTACTCACTTAAAATATGTAAGCCATAAGGACCAATTTTGCATTTAACTCAATTATATATATATATATATAGGAGCGATCATATGAAAACCGTCCTCATTTGTGTAAATCGTGCAAACCACCTTCATCTGTCGATTTCATTGTTTAATCTTATGAAATTTTTTCATGAAATTGTTTTATATAATATTTTTTTTTGATGAAGTTGTTTCATATATGGTTGTGAAATTGTTTCATATAATACTTAATG